GTGATTTCTCAGAGGCCCTCGCGCCTGCCGAGAAGCTTTGTGTGCCTCCGGGGAAGGCTCAGGAGACTGCTCAGAAGGCCAGGGGACTTCTACGCCTCCTGAGAATGGCCCGCCCCTTTCTCACTCCCCCCCCAGAGCTCGCCGCCGATCGAAGCGTCGGTCCCCTCGATCGTCGCCCCCCAGGAGGGGGAGGAGGAGGAGGAGGAGGAGGAGGAGGAGGAGGAGGAGGAGGAGGAGGAGGAGGAGGAGGAGGAGGAGGAGGAGGAGGAGGAGGAGGAGGAGGGAGGAGGAGGAGGAGCAGGAGGAGGAGGAGGAGGAGGAGGAGGGGTAGGAGGAGGGGGAGGAGGAGGAGGAGGAGGAGGAGGAGGAGGAGGAGGAGGAGGAGGACGAGGAGGAGGGGGAGGAGGCCAATGAGACCCGAGGAGGCGCGGACGACAAGAGGCCCAGGTGGGCCACGACGGCAAGAACACGCCGCCCCGCGCGGAGGCTCACGGCGCCCCACCTTCACGCTTCCGGCGGCGCGGGCCACTGCGCAAGCTGCTCCTTGTGCAGCCTTTCGAGGTCGGCAATACCGTCTGGCTCGTCGGGGACGGGGACACCGAGGCCGCCTAGGTGCAGGAGGTCGTGTACCCCGCACCGCACCAGCACCGCCAGCGCGTAGGCGCACAACGCCGCCGCGTCGGGGAAGCGGCGGTGCTGCTTCTCCTTCGGCGTGGGCCTTCCGAACGGGCTGTTCCAGTCGTCGTGGTCCTTGTTCTTGTCCTTGCCCTTGCCCTTCTCCTTGCCCTTGCCCTTCTCCTTGCCCTTGCCCTTCTCTTTGCCCTTGTCCTTGTCTTTGTTCTTGCCGTCTGGTATAATCTCCCAATCCTCATCCGCAGCAAACATCTAGCGGAGAACTTAGACGAGATTGGAGTTGCTCTTAACCCTGGAAAACGTGCCACACTTGCTCGACTCTTTGGACCAGGCAGTATAAAACAGCGGCGGCTTCTTTTCGGTGGCAGTATTCAGTACCCAGGAGAGCTGGCCAGGTTCTTGAGGATTCTGGGAGGATGGTTGACGACTTCGGGGTCCCTGCAGGTGGAAAAAAACGAAGTAGAGTACATAGAGTACGAAATAAAGCGTCCCTGCTCACGATTACGAGCCAGTGCTTTAGGTGCCTCCAGGTGCTCAGTACGCGTGAAAATGCACAACGGCACGTGATGCGTTCGTACCAGCACAACATCTGTTATCGTGGGCGCAGCACGTACATGGCCCACGAGGTGACTGAGCCGAGCGATCTTGCTTGTCCGATCTGCAGCTACACGGCTCAAGACCTAGTGGAACTACAACTTCACATACGATCACATTGTGCTCTCCCGGATTCACGGATTGTGGACTGCCGCACCCGCCCCAGACGCGATGCACGCAGGCGGCCCCAGCATGGGCCTCAGCCAGCTCACGAAGCGTCACCTGCTAGAGGGCGGGGCCGAGGCAGGGGCCGAGCGGGCCCAACGACGTCGGGTGGGAGAGGCAGCAGAGGATGCAGACGACGGCCTAGCAGCCGTGGAGGGCGCGCTCAAAGCGCGCGACATCCAAGCTGCGCTCAACATCTTGCTCAAGATGGCGTGCCAGCACGCGCAGCTGCTCAGGGACATGGCGGCGTCGGAGTGGATCAGCGTGGTGACGCCGACAGAGGCGGACATTGTGCAGGTGAGCAGGCGCACGGGCAAAGAGCACGCACAGGTGGCGGCGATACCCGCGGCCAAGGGGGAACAGGCCCTCCTCATGTGTACATCGCGCGCGCCGCGTTCAGATCCCTATCGGAGTCCAAGGAGATCCAGTCGAAGGGCGCCAACTCGCACAAGTTGGTGAACATCTTTTACACGAGGTTCGTATCAGGTGCGAACCACATGGAGCTTGGTTTGATGGTGAGGCACTTCCGTCTCCGCAAGTGCTACAACGAGGAGTACACACGGATTCAGTTCTCGATCGCGGACGGGCTGACCATTCCAGTGGTGAACGGCCAAGAGGAGGTGGCGATGAGCAAATTGGAGATCGAGCAGGCGGTGGTGAGCTGCCTAGTGATCGTGGGAGGGCGCATGAAGCTCGGGGCCGCTCCTCAGGGCCACCTCGAACAGCTCGCTCAGAGGCTTCTCGACAAAGGCAAGAAAGCGGACAAAGTCAAGAAACGCTGAGGACACCACAAGCATCGCATTGGGAAGAGAGGCTGGCAGCTCTGCGCGAACGAGTCCGACAGAAGGAACAAGCACAGCGTGAGACCAGCAAGTAATTCATAATATCTGTTTTTTGGATTTTCCGACGGCTTCAAACTATTCAGATCTCTGGAGCGCCCGTTTACATTTATGCTGGCCTTTGTTCCTGCTCACGCTGGCACTACGGTTTGGTTTCTTTTCTGATGGAAGAGGCACAGGCTGCGACAGGGTCTTGGCTTCGTAACCCCTCGCCAGGCGTCGTCGCGTGCTTCTATCCTGATGCAAGACCACACTCCTCTCCATACTTATCGGACGTTCTCGGAGATATGCTCAAAAGTCGTCGACGATCCTATTCCATATGTGCTTGATCGAGCTTCCCAAGTGCGACATGTTTGACCTCATCGGCGTGGGTTCCTTTCTTCTTTTTGTTCAGTGGGGTGGGAAAGTCGCGCTCTACACCTACGCCGTCGCCGACGGGGTCGACTCCTGGATGAGCATAGGCGCCCACCCGTGCGTGTACTAGGCCGCGCCGCCTGTGCGCTGCCGCCCTTCCCTTTCCCTCTCCTCGTCGTCCTTCCTGGTCCTCCTAGCTTTCTCACCCCTTCCGAGCTTGCGGGACCCTGGGCCCCCAATGAGGATGAGGAGGACAGTACGAGGAGGATATCAGATTTGTTTCGGGGGCCGAGGGGACCGCTCAGGGCAGGTGGAGTGCCTCCGAGGCCAGCCAGGTGCAAGCAGCACCAGACGGCCACGGCCTCTAGCGAGGCCCGAGGGGCATCACCCCCTGCCCAGGGACTGATATAAATTGCGACGGTCTTCATACACGGGTATGAGAGGCTGCGCGGCGCGTGCTACCCCCACCTCGGATCGTGAACGAACGAGACGACTGCGCGAGGTAATGCTTAGAGCCAGGCCGACGGCTTGGCGCGAGCTGCAGGTCAGACGGAGACCACACGCGAGGCCGAGTCTTCTTCTTCTTCCTCCTCCTCCTCCCCCCCCCCCTCCTCCTCCTCCTCCTCCTCTGCCATGGTTCGGGGCCGACAGCGTCGCCATGATGCTCGATCAGGCATCGATTCCCCAGAACATATGGGAAACTATGGGAAGTGGGGGGAAGACAAAAACCCAGAAAATATGGGAAAAGTTGGGGAATATTTTTATTTGTGTGTATGTATGTGTGTGTGTGTCCTTGGGCCCCTTCAAGAGATGCCAGGACCGCTCCTGCCCAAGAAGAGGAACCGTTTTGTTCAGACTTTCAGGCTCTGAGGGCCCTCCACGGGCCCCGGGTCCCAACCTGCCCAGGAGCGAGCGGAGTCTTATTATTCGGGGGTGGACAGAACCCCCCATAGTGACACGTCGATTAGTGAATTGTCCGTTTTCGGTTCTCGAGAGGGCGCCGTGGCCGTTATTTTCCAGGCTTGCGCCCGCCAGGTTTGGGCCTCAGGTCGTTTTTACTAAACCACGTTTTACTAAAGGGGGGTCTGTCCATCCCCGAATGATGTTCCAACTCCCCCTTTGCTATCCCCCCCTGTCGCCCAGCCCGAGAGGCGCAGCGTTCAACGCGACGTTAGGAGTAGGGGGCACTGGTCAAGAATTCGCTGCTTGGCGCCGCCAGGCACGCGCTTATGCGCCTGTGGAGGTGCCGCGGTGGCATTGCGCGTTTCGGGGGAGGGCGGCGCATTCAGCGGCAGAAAAAAAAACTACTTGAACCTTGATCACCAGAATGAATTTCGAGCACCAAGCAAGTATCGAAATTGGATGGTTTTCACGTGTCGGGCTCTGGGAGGCGATACTCGTTCGATTATGTTTCGCTACCTATCTGGGTGCTCGAAATTATTTCTGGGATGTGGTCCGTAAGCACCACGGGAGCAGCATACGAGGAGTCGCTGTCGGGGGCCTATCGCCGATCTATCGTCGATGTATCGCCGATCCCAGGTCGAATGTTTCCTACCCCGAGCCAGTCGCGGCCTAGATGATGCCCCTCGTTGTACAGCCTCGATCGCGTGGCGAAGGCGTGCTTCGAAAAAGAAACATGCATCAACATAAACGTTCGGTCGGCGCTGGGCCCCCCTCCTTAGTGCGCGGAGCGCGCCAGGGGCGGCGCCGGAGGCGCCGCCAGGGGGTCCAGATCCGAGAACTCCGCGCGGAGCTCCAAAAGTGTACTCGTATGCCGCATTCTGCTCTCCTACTCGAGCGCGCGGGCGCGCTGGGATCCTCGTGTGCGAAAAACGTATCCGCTTTGCCGCGGATGTCCCGCGCGGAAGGTATCCGTGCGACCGCTCACCGCGAGGGCGCGGATGCGGATATGTCCGCCGCTCGTGAAAGCGCTATTGACTTTCACCTAGCGTTTGAGAAACGTGCTCTTCAAAGATTGGCGGCGAGCCCAGGGGGGAAGTGAGAAGGGGCGGGCGTTCTCAGAAGTTTCGTAAGTTCCCTGGCCTTCTGAGAAGTGCTCGAAGCCTTCTTCGAGGATGCTGGAAGTTTCTCAGAAGGCGCAAGGGCTTCTACGAAGCCCCGCCGCCTTTGAGAAGGCCTTCTCCTCTTCCCTTCCCCCCCGACTAGAGTCGCCGCCGACTGGCTCGCCGCCGACCAGCGTGTGAGAAACGTCTTGCTCCAAGAGGGGGGCGCAGGTGCGTCAGACTTTTTCCCTGGGCCCCCTTGCCTTGCTCGAGCGGCACGTCTGGCATGTCTGGGCTTTGGGTCTCCCGCTCCTCGCCCACACAGTGGGAGCACTCGCCTCGGACGCCTTCGAGTGCTGCCGGGAGTCCCTCCCTTGAGAAAAAAAAAACAAGGGAAAAAAAGGGGGGCGCAGGTCCTGCGGATCTCCGTCGAGCAGGCGCTCTTCGGCTTCGACGTCTCCTGGTCGCACCTGGGCGCCGAGAAGGCCCCGGGCGCCGTCGCCGCTCCCCGCCGCCGTCGTCGCAGCCGTCGCCGTCGTCGTCCTCGCCGTCGACGTTCGGGGTCGTCGCCGTCGTCACTGTCGTCGTCGTCGTCGTCGTCGTCGTCGTCGTCGTTATCGTCGTCGGCGTCGTCGTCGTCGTCGTCGCCCTCGCCCTCGCCCTCGCCGTCGTCGTTCTCGTCGTCGTCGACGTCCCCAGGCCTCCAAAGTATTGGAGGTCACAGCACGGAGGTTGTTTTCGGTGTTCGGCCTCTGGGGACCCTCGCGCACTGGGACGGTCAAACAACGGCCTTTGACGAGAAACCCGTCCCGGGAAGTTGTCGAGTGTTCCCTCGCCGCGGCCGGTCGTGCCAGATTGCCGCCGGCGTCATCGTCGTTGTCGCGGCGGCCAGGGCATTGCGCCCGACACCCAGCCAGCGTCGTCCCTGTGGTCGGTCTCGCCCCGAAGAAGCAATATGATCCGCAAGGGCTCCGCCCTCTGCTAAAGCGTCCGGGAGCATCACGTGAGGGCGATCGGCATTCAGCAAGCACCTTGAGATGTCGGAGTTGTTGTCGAACGCTTCTCAGAGCGCGAATCTGGCGCAACGGGTAGTTTGCAGGGCATCGCGGACTCGGGAGCGCGAGCCTGGCGTAATTTTCTGGGGATCGTGTCCCCAGGAACGCGAAGCTTGCGTCATTTGCGGAGGATTTTAGCCTCGGGCGCGCGAATCTGCCGCAATTGATTTGAACAGGATTCTGGTCTCGGGGACGCGACTCTGGCACAATTTATGACGGATTCTGGCCTCGGGAGCGCGAATGCAAGGAAATGTGCAAGGGACTCTGGCTTCGGGAGCGCGGACCTGGCGTATGCAAGAATGGATGCTGGCCTCGGGAGCGCGACACTGACGCAATCAGGAATAATTCACAAGGGTTTGTGACATCGGGGCGCGAATCTGGCGCAATATGCAAGAGATGATGGCCTCGGGGGCGCAAACCTCGTGCATCTTTACATATCGCAGGGCCTCCCAGAAATGCAGAGCATGCGGGTCGGGCGTGGTTGCCAGGGTGAACTTCGTTCCCCCCCCTCGCGTGGACAGCAACAGCTTACAGTTGGAAGCAGACAGTATTACAGTGGAGGCCAGTTCACAAGAAACCTTCCACGAGAAACCCAACCCTGAGACCCCAGGACGTCCATCGACTTTTGGTGTGGGAGCGTAACGCTTGCCATCGCAAAACCCTCGAAACCCAAGAAACCCAGGGCACCCTGGAGGCAAGCAGGGTGTTTCTTAGCATGGGCCCCCGTTGTATTATAGAACCGATTGGAGACTGAAAAGACCGGAAGCAGCGCAAGGGGCGCAGGAGACCTCTCAGTTGCGCACAAGGTGGCTACGCAGGACGGCCAGCGGACTATACACGCAAAACCAGGGCTGGACCTAAACGTTGTTTCGCTGCATTTCGGCTGTGTTTTTGTTGTTCGCTTTGGCAGGGGATACAGAAAAACAGGTAGGGCAAAACGAAATACATAACGAATACAAAACGAATGGGTCCAGCCTTGATCAAAACGTTTTGGAGGTCTGGGAGGGACTTTTTATGGATCGGCGCTGGACCCCCCGCTTGGTCGCGCGCTGGCGCGCAAAGCGCGCAAGGGACGGCGCTCGGGGCGCCGCCAGTCTGGGCCCGGCCCCGATCCACGAAATCCGCGCTAACTCTCGAAACATAACATGCTTAAATGCATCGTTCTTCTTGGATTCCAGGCCAGCGTCGTCGCCGTGGTGGATCCCCATCCAGCGAGCTTCTTGTAAGTGTTACAAGCTCACTTGCATGGTACTCATTCCCCCCACTCCGCCTCCTTTCCAAACAGCTTTTTTTGTTGATTCGAGGGTCGAGAGCGCACCTCTTCTGGTCGAAGCTAAGCGGGCCACGCGAAGCTTGAATTAACAAAGAGGGGGGGGCAGAAGGAGCGCGGCCTCACGGCAAGGCCAGGAGGAGGCAAAGCCTCGGGATAGGCGGTGCCGAAAACGACGTGCTTGTAAAGGAACGCCTTTCCTCCTTTCCGAACAGCGCTGGGCCGAAAAGGCACGCAAGGGCGCCCAGGCTTGCGTCAAGTCCAGATGTCCTTCCCGGCCTCGCCACGCCCCCCCCCGCCTCCCGTCCATACCACTAACTCTGCCCGGGTCTGAAGGAAAACGGCCTCTGGCCGGTCCCGATCGCTGGCCCTCAGCCACGCGCAGAGGGGGGTGGGGGGAGGGGGGAGGGCTTCTTAGAAGCACCCCTGCTTCTTAGAAAGCGCGGGCCTTCTCTATAGATGTCAGGCCGGCGCCTTCTAAGAAGCAGCCTCCTTCTAAGAAGCCCTCCCCCCTCCCCCCCACCCCCTTGTGCGCGCCGCCAAGTCCCTCTCGGACGCCCCCCCAAGGTCAACATCGCACGCGACCGCCTGGAGCGGCCCGACGAGGTCCTGAGGCCGGGGCGGGGGGTGCGCGTCGCCCCCCGCGCTTTGCCAGGGCTCCCCGGCTCCGTGCCGCCATTCCGCCCTCCATCCTGCCTTCCCTTCCTCCTCCCTCCTCGTGGTGGCATCGCTCGTGCGTGTGCGTCTGATTTCTCGGCGAGGAGCATCGATGAGCATCCTGGACCATCTTGTGCAAATAATGAAATGCACGGAGCCGAAAATCCACGGGGAGTCGATGTCCGAACGATGGCAAGTTCCTCTCTCCTCTTCTTCCCCCTCCTGACACTTACGCTGGTGGCATTCGAGTCGAATCCGACACTGCCATGCCCCCTAGAGGACCTCCTGGGCGCTGAGCGCTGATTTGTGAAGGTCAAGGCCCACCACGGTGTGACCCAGCGGGCATCTCTGAGCGAGAAAGGTTTCTGCGCAGGGGCAACAGAGATGCTGACGTAGGGGCCATGCACGGTTTCCAGTTTCACCCGTCAGATTCACCCAGCAAGTTAGAGGTCGATGCCGTAGTCACTCTGTCTCGTGCCTCCTGTATCCTAGCCGCTAATGGATTGCCCGTATGGCCCAAGTATTCTTTAGATGTGCCATATGATCCTACTCCTGCCCCTCCCAGACCTCCTAGGCTCTCACACGCCTGGAAAAAGTGGTTTGGCATCTGGAGGTGAGCCCAGCGTTTGCTCGGCAAAAGGATCCCGCAGGAGCCTCCTCCAGGTAGTTGCTTCAACGGGTCTAAGTTAGATGATAATGTGCTTCAGCATTTAGAGCATCGAGTCTTTGTTTTCCCGTGTTCAGATGGATCCGTGCTCTCCATTTGTACAGATGCACGTGTCATCTCACGGGTGCTATGGTCAAAAGACTAGGGCACAAGTGCGCAGGTTCACCATTCAGACATTCGGCTATTTGGTGGTTAATTTTGTGCCGAGGCATCCACCTTCACGAGAGACGCCGCCACATCACTGTTGCGGTGGACAACGTTCTCAAACTTTTTGAGTGTTGTGTCGCATGTTGGTTGTGCTCTTGTGTAGAGTGCGCCCTTTCTTTTCAGCCCGAGGCTGAGCCGCAGAGGCGAGGCCTTGGCTGTGGTGGTCCCAGGTTGCTTGCTTTCCGTGTGCACCCCAGTCTTTCTGGCCCCAGTCTTGATTCAACATTTCGATTTCGTGGGCCGCAAGAGCAGCAGAGGTAGATGTCGTGTGCAGCTGACTGAAGCTTCTCCTGTTGGGCCTTGCGTCCCACGCCGCGTGTGGCGTCTAGCCACCCGCCCCTTTTCTTTTGCGCCCGCTGCACGGCGCATTTATTCACAAAATCTCGCACTGTTGTTGTTCAGAAGTCGCCCTAGTGGCTAGTGTTCCTCCTCCTCCTCCTCCTCCTCCTCCTCCTCCTCCTCTCCTCCCTCTCCTCCTCCCCTCCTCCTCCCTCCCCTCCCTCCCCTCCCTCCCCTCCCTCCCCTCCCTCCCTCCCCCCCTCCCCTACCTCCCCTCCCCTCCCCTCCCCTCCCTCCCTCCCCTCCCCTCCCTCCCCACGGAGCGGAGGCTCACGAAGATGGGCCTGCAGCAGGGAGGCCCCGCCGCCGCCCTGCCACGTCCCCCGATCGGCGTCCTCGTCGTCGTCTCCGCCGCCTCCTCGTACGCATCCTCTTGCTTTTTTCCCTGTCTGCTCATCCTTCGAATCAGTATACTGCCCCAAACATCGGGCGTATCGAAAACATCGAGACGGAGGTTTTTCGCAGTTGTTGACCTCTCGGGGCCTTCGGCGGGCCTCGGGACCGTCAACAAAAACGGCTCGGGGTGAAAAACCGATCCCGGGGAAGTGGTCGGGAGGTCGGGGGCTCGTGTCTCGAAAATCGGGGGCGGCAAAGAGGGGGGTGATGACTAGGGGGGGTGGATATCATGGCGTGGGCCATGATATTTCCCCAGATTCCACGGCGCCTCTTCTTATTTCATTACGTCCCTGGCCCCCCCGCTGGGCCGCGCACGTGCCGCCGGTCATGATTTGCACCCCCCCCCTCGTGGACACCCCCCTCTTGGCCGCTCCCGGGGAAAAGTCGGGACGTTGGGTGTTTGGAGTATTGTGTGTGCCTTGTCGGAGACGCCTACGGCGAATCACCGCCGCCCCCTGCCTCGGCGAAAGCGCTCCGGTGGCTGAACGCTGGGCCTCAGCTTGGCCAAGCGATCGGACGGTGTGTTTCCCCAGCCGCGCTGGAAATTCTCGGGGGGGCACTTGGGGGAGGATGAGGAGGATCGGGAGATGGAGGAGGAGGAGGAGCAGGAGGAGGAGGCCTCCAGGGAGCATCTTGGGGCACTCTTGAAGCTTCCTGGGAGCCTCCTGAGGGCCTCCCTGGCCCTCTTGGGGGCCTCCTTGGTCATCTTGGCGGCCTTTCGGGCCTCTTGAGGACCTCTTTGGCCGTCCTGGAGCGTTCCTGGCCCGTCTGACGCCCGTCTTGCGGGCCTCTCTGACCCGACCTGGGGCCCTCTTGAGGCATTTTAGGGTGGTCTTAGATGCCATTTAGGGTGTCTTGGGGGCCTCTTGGGCCGTCTTGGGGCCCTCTTGCGGTCGTCTTGGGGTCGTCTTGGGGGCCTTTTGGGCCGTCTCAGGGCCATCTCAGAGGTCTCTTGGGCGATTTGGGGGTGACCTTGGGGTTACCTTGGGGGTCTATTTGGCCGTCTCGGTCCGTCGGAAGGCCGAAAAGTAGCCATTACACAAATCTTGCAAAAACCTAAGGCGCATCGATGATGTTTGCCTCTTCAGGCCTTCCTGCATAATTACCCTTTTGGAGGCCTCTTGGGCCGTCTTCGAGGCTTCTTGGGGGTCTCTTAGACCGTCCTGGGTAATCTTGAGGCCATCTTACGCCGCCTGGGGTGAATATTGGGCCGTCTTGGAGGCATATTAGGGCCATCTTAGCCGCCTTGGAGGCCATCTTTGCCGTTTGGGAGGCCATATTGGCTGTCTTAGAGGCGATTTGGGGCAATGTGTTCTGCGGGTTGTGCGGTCTTTCGGGTGGCCCGTGCAATGGACCGAAGCCCCAGGGCGAGCTCCTTGGGAAAAAGGACAAAAATTAAAAATCATCAGAAATTCTGCACGCCAGGCATTCCTGTGGCAAGACCACAGGGGGCGTCGGATCGAATGGCATTCAGCCCATCCCGCCACCGTGCTCGGGGTGTGGGTTAGAGTTCTCAGGGATGCTTCGTGGGGTCTCTTCGGGGCGCTCTCTGGGGCCTCTTGGGGGCAGTTTAGGGGCCTCGGAGGCCTCTTGTGGCTTCTTGGGGCCCTCTTCGGGCCTCTTGGGGGCCTCTCGGGGGCCTCTTGGGGCCTCCTGGGGTCGTCTCAAGGCCGAGAGCTCGAAATGTCCTTTCGGGTCCCCCATCAGGACCACCTCTTGGAGCCGTCGATTTTGGGGGCCGTCTGGGAGCGTCGGAAAGCCGACTAGGCGAGAAGACTACAAACCCTCAAAAACCATAGGACAATCAATGATTTTGGCCTCTTTGGACGCTCTTGGAAGGCCTCTTGGGGCCATCTTGAGCGTCTTGCAGCGATCGTTCGGCGACTCCGGGCTCTAATGGACCGTCTTGGGAGCTTCTTAAGGCCCTCTTGGCCCGTGTTGGGGCCCTCTCGAGCCCGGAAACGTCTCCCGAGAAGACGATCCGATGCCCAGGGGGCACGCGGCAAGCCCAAGCAGACTTGTGAATTCGGGGCTCGGGTCCCTTTAAGAGCCCTCAGGATCGAGGACTGAGGCTCAGGGCATTGGGCAAAGGACCTGATGACACGCCCACTCCGTGCCCAGCGGCACATTGGCGGATGCGCACTCTGTCACATCATTCGAAGTCCTCGTCGCTGTCCCTCTCGTCGTCATCGTCGACACCACGCTCTTGCAGACGACTCCGCATCCTGCAGTTTGTGTAGGACAGGGCAGGAGAAGCTTTCGTTCTGCCTCCCATCCATCCCCCTCTCTCTCTCTCTCTTTCTCTCTCGCTCACTCTCCCACACGCAGGGAGGGGAGGAAGGAAGGTCGAAGCCTCCCGCTCCCTCCCGGGCCTCCTCTTCCGCTCCCTCCCGCCCTGCCCGATTTCTCTCGCCAGGAACCCACTCCTGTTGCTCCTCCCTCCCTCCCTCCTGCTCCCACGGCGCAGCGGCACTCGACGGCTCCCCTTGAGCACTTCGCTTGCGGACGAGCCGAACCGAGCAGTCCAGGGAACCAACGTCGACCAGCGCTCCTTACATTTTCGACCAAGTCAGGATTCATGATTGCACATTCCGATGATCCAGAATCCAGTAGAGTCCCGCTTCTTGGGATCATTCCGGCCAGTGCTCGTTTCTCATCTGCATCAGCTGTTCGCAGCGCTGCGCTGAACAGGGTCGAACCTCTTCGGCCACGTCTTCCGCGGGACCGGCTCCTCGTCCCGAGCCGTGTTCTGCGGCCCCAGAGGGTAGGAATTGTCAAACATCATTTCCCGTCGTGTTCTTGTTCGCGGCGCGAGGGTGTCAAGGCTTCCCCACCATTTCCCCTTACAGGAACCCTTTTCGTTGGGGAGGAGCTCCGCGTTCCTTACGTGTTTCGCAGCTTGCCTCAGGTTTCCTTATGTTTTCGATCGAAAATCGAAGTTGGACTTATGGAAAAAATGGGCCTCCTTCCTTATTTCGGGTTCCTTATGTCAAGGCCCCGACTGTAGCAGATGAGGAATTTCGTCAGAGTCGACTGGTCGGGCCCCGAAGGCGTTTGTTCCGGAAGTGTACCCGAAGGCCATGCGGGTTGCGGAAGTGAATGGCTCGGGGTGGACAGAACCCCCAACAGTGACACGTCGATTAGTGAATTGTCCGTGTTCGGTTCTCGAGACGGTGCCGTGGCCGTTATTTTCCAGGCTTGCGCCCGCCAGGTTTGGGCCTCAGGTCGTTTTCACTAAACCACGTTTTACTAAAGGGGGGTCTGTCCATCCCCGAATGGCATCAGACTTTTGCTTTCCGACGTCGATTTTTTTTGTGACGTCGGCCCCTTTGGATCTCGACCACTTCCGCAGGGCTGGAGATTTATCCTGAGCAGCTGCTGTGTATCGCCCCGAGGCATGACAACGGACTCCAGGGGCCCAAGACGACGCAAAACCGACCGTCACGAGGTTTGTTGCGTCGATTGGATCGAAGGGTCCATCAAATGATCGGGCGTTGCGTAATGGGGGGGGGCGATATGGGGTGCAAAGAAAGATTGACTTGTCGTGCACATTCGTGGTCCGAATGGAGCTAATAAAGGGGCACGAAGGATGCGCGTTGTCTTCTCCCCCCTCATGATCGCACCCCCCAGGTAACTCGACCGCGCACAGAGGGGCAGAGGGAGGGGGGAAGGCTTCGCAGAAGCGCACCTGCTTGTGAGGCCCGGCCGTCTAAGAAGCAGCCTCCTTCTAAGAAGCCTTCCCCCCTCCCCCTACCCCCTCGTGCGCGCCGCCAATAAGCAACGCCCGAACTCTGCAGTTGCTCTTTCCCCCGCATCCCTACAGTGCCGTTTTTAATACATGCTCCGCGTGCGGATCATGTATTAAACATGCAGGGATTCAGTATTAAGAACAACGATGAGTTCGTGCATAAATTTAGTCATAAATGAATCATGGATTGAAACAATTTTGTATCATTAAAAATCCTATGTGTTAAAGACTGCCCTGTACCCCTTGTGCGCGCCGCCAATAAGCAACGCCCGAGCTCTGCAGTTGCTCCTTCCCCCACCCCCCGAGGCACGCGCGGCGACCTGTACGTGAGGCTAGCGGTGGACTGGCCCCAGGCGCGCCGCCCGCCCCGTGCCAGGGACGGGCGCTCGGCATCCCGTCCCCCTGCCGAGATCAGGGGCAGCGATAGAGGTCTCAAGGGGGATAGGCTTGGAGGGTTGAGGTTCGAGGTTCGGGAAACAAAACGTGACATAAACATAAGAACTCGGAGGTTCGCGCGGATTTCTTCGGCGCTGGACCCCCCTCCCTGGCGCGCGGAGAGCGCCAGGGGCGGCGCCGGAGGCGCCGCAGGGGGGCCCCAGTGCCGATCCGAGAGATCCCCGCGGACCTCTGAGTTTTTATGTTTATGTCACTTTTTGTTCCCCTAGAGGTCTTCGGGCGTTTTCGTCGGTTCCTGGAAGTTCTCCAGCCTCGGGAGGCGTTGGAGCGGCTGCGCCTCTCCGAGGGGCGACGGGCTTGGAGGGTTGAGGTTCGAGGTCTTCGGGCGGTTTCGTCGCTTCCTGGAGGTTATCCGGCCTCGGGAGATGAAGAAAGAGGAGGAGAGGGGGAGAAGGAGGAGGGAGGAGCAGAAGGAGGAGAAGGAGGAGGGAGAGGAGAGGAGGCCGAGGATGATGAGGGGGAGGAGGAGAAGAAGCACGAGGAGGAGGAGGAGTCAAAATGACATTCAACGCCCGATCTTTGAGCGGCGGCGCCTCTCCGAGGGGCGTCGGGCTGTGCCCAGATCGTGCAGGGGACGGCCGCAGGAGACCCGAGCTAGGACCCGAAAGCGAGTCGACGAGGAGCACTCGGGGGGGAAACGGTAGGGGGGGATGGGCACAGGTGGGGATGCAACAACACAGCAAGAAGCCGTGCATCCATTCGGGGACGGAAAAGAGGGGGGTGATGACTAGGGGGGGGGCGGATATCATGGCGGGGGCCATGATAGTTCCCCTGATTTCATGGCGCCTCTTCTTATTTCATTACGTCCCTGGCCCCCCCGCTGGGCCGCGCACATGCCGCCGGTCATGATTTGCACCCCCCCCTCTGAGACACCCCCTTCTGTTGGTCTCTCTCTGTCTGTTGGTCTCTCTCTGTCTCTGTCTTCCTCTCGTTCGCTTGTCCCTTGTCTCACCGTCGTCAATTGTCATGCATGGCGGCGCCCCGGCGCCCACCTGCAGCGCCCCCGCGGCGCCTCGACTGCAGGCCGATGTCCGATGTCCGATGTCCTCTTGGACACCCCCCTCTTTCCCGCCCCCGATCCATGAAGGACGCGTGGGCAGAAATAGCAACTGCAAAGTTGCCGCGGGCGTTTCTTAGGGGGGAGGAGGTGGAGGGGGCAAAATGCTTCAGCTGCTCAGGCGACCGAGGTTGTAGACGGATTGCGCCCATTGCTGCTTGGGTCTCCCTCTGCACAGGTGGGGATGCATGGACCCCCAATCGCCCCCTAATCGTCGATGGGGGTCTCATTGCCCCAAGAGCGTGCGGATTTGCTATCGGGGGCCTGTCGCCGATCTAGCGGTGATGTACCGCCGATTCCAGGTCGATGTTCTCCCCCCCCAGGCCAGACCCCCTCTCGTTGCAATTCACGAGAGGGCCCAAGTCTCCCCGATGGGGTCCGAGCGGATGGGGTCGGCCCGAGAATCGTGCCGCGATGTGGCCTTCGGTACGATCGAAGTGGATACGGACAGAGCTTGTACGAAGACCAAGAGCAGTTCCTGTCCATCCTGAACAGGATTCTCTGTCGGCGTCGCCGCGGTCGTTATCCATTCGAGACAAAGGGCGGCCTGCCCAAAAGAGGCCGCTGTCGGTTTTGGACAACATGTGTTGCTGGGCATCGTTACCCATGTTTTACGCACCCTCTTCGGGCGTCCAAAGATGCATCGGCGATGCGACTTGGCGTGGAGAGCGACCCTCTCCACGCCGATGCCGATGCCGCCGATTCGTCGCGGACACATCGCCGATGCATCGACGATGTGATCCTCCGAGCCCATGCGCTCGGACCCCTTTCGGGCAGCCCTCTAGAGGGGGGGGGGCTCCAGGGGGCTGCGTCGGGCCCGCCTGTGGGCACGCCGCTTTCGGATGGCGAGCGCTGCAATTTTTTGAAGCTGGCCGTTTTCGCCTGGTTTCGGGTCCCGGGGCCATCACAAATGGAGGGGGTCGGCTTTCCAAGAAGGCAGGGGGGGGCTTCTTAGAAGCGCCTCAGGGCGTTTCTGAGAACGTCCCTGCAGAGGCGCTTCTAAGAAGGTCCTTGCCTTCCAAGAGGCCCCGTACCTTCTTAGAAGGTCACCCCCCTCGCGCCACCCCGTTGTGTTGCCAAAAACTGGTGCCCAAATACTTGTTGTGGACTTCACCACCAGCCCTCTAACCAGCTAAGCGCGCAGAAGTGTTGAACGAGCCGTGCTGAAGATGCGTGGCGAAGGCGGTCTTGCCGTGACAGTCGACGAAGAGTACAGTGCGGGCGCGGCCGCAAGAAACCCTCGCAAGAAACCCAACCCTGAAAACCCGCGCGCGAGGTGCACCTGAGGGGAAACCCAGAGCGCCCTGTACGCACCAGCTTCTTCCACGGCTGCGGGAAGTCACCGCGCAGCTCGCGGAGCGAAGAAACCCAGGATGCCCTGACGAAAATCATACTGTTTCTTGATGATCAGGAGGGAAAGAAACACACAGACACCATTAATCGTCGACTCCCAGGGAAACATGGCAAATATGGAAAGTGGGGGAAAACATGGCAAAAGTATTTAAAAATATTCGGATTCCTGTTATTTGTGTGTATTCATATGTGTGTCCTTGGGCCCCTTCAGACGAGCACCCCCACCTGCAGCACCTGCTCGCGGGTGGCGGCCAGCTTGTCTGCGGCAGGCTCGCGCCGTACCGCCGGCGCAGCTGCCACCCCAGCGCGGGGCGTCCGAGGTGGACCGCCGCCGGTGGCCAAGACTCAGCGAATATATACAGTCAGGAGGGAAGAAAGCACACACGCGCACACACACACACAGCTAATCGTCGATTCCCCTGAAAAAGTAGGAAAATACAGGAAATGGGGGATGACAAGCACCCAGAAAATATGGGAAAGCATGGGGAATCCTGTCATTTGTGCGTCTTTATTTGTGTGTCCAAGGGCTCCTTCAATACAGTCAGCCCGCATAATGAGGATGGGCAACCTTCCCAAGGGTACCCTCGCATCCTTGCCTCCTCGGTTCATCCTTGGCGACTTTCGTTGGCCGTTCGACACGAGCGTCCAAGGCCCCGGCACCCTTACCCGGCACCCTTATGATACGGGCCGACCGTGGAACGATTTGGCGATCGAAAAGCCGCCGATCGTTGAAGGTAGAACGAGCCACGCGGCGTCAGAGGACAACGAAGGCGTCGTCACGACAAGGACCTGGCCCACGGGTTGACGCAGCCTTGCTCGAGGAGCGGGTGGGCCCTGCCAGTCCGGGTCCGTGCGCAGGCCCAGGCTTGAAGGCTCGCCGGGAGAGGAGCCTTGATTTGAGGAGGAGGAGGAGGAGGCGGAGGAGGAGCCCTGGCCTCCTCCAGGAGCCCAGCGGCGCGCGACGCGTGGCCCCCCGGCGCGGAGCCTTCGGGGCGAGGTCGGCGGGCGTCCCCCGTTCTGTCGGCCGAAGTGGTGTTCCGAGCCCCGGGCAGCTCACGCGGATCGGCGGCGCGCCGAGAGGGGCGGGAAAGCGTGAGAGGGGGCGGGCCCTTAGTGGGCCCTGGAAACGACAGGGCCGTTTTTTTACCGGTTCCGTTCTGCCGTTTTTTTGCCGGTTCCGACGCCGTTCTTTTACCGGTTCCGTCGCCGTTTTGTGACCGGTTCCGGCTCCAATTCCAATCCTGGAGCCGTTTTTTTGCCGTTTCCGGTCGCCGTTTTTCTGCCGTTTCTCTTTTCGAGGGACTTTTTTGGGAACATCTAAAACAAAAAAAAAAAAAAAAAAAAAAAACGGCCCTGCCGTTTCCGGGGCCGACAAAGGGCGCGCCTTCTCCGAAGGCGCAGGCGGGTTCTCGGAAGGCGCGGGGGCTTCTGAGGAGCCCCGCCGTCTTCCGAGGAGGCCTGGCCCCATCTCCTTTCCCCTTCTGGGCTCACCGCCAAGTAGAATGCCACGCCCGTGTTGCTCCGCGATCTGTGACGCGTGCCGCTTTCGACGTCCCGCCCTCGCGGGGTTGGCACAATACACACAGGATGCCATCCCAGTGGGAGCGCTGCGCCTCCTCGGAGATGCCGCCCAAGAGGCGCTGGCGTTGGCTCCGGCGAGCTCTCGTTTTTTTTTGGGGGACATGGAGAGGACGCCGGGAGGAAAATTGAGAGCGGGCGTCCGAAGTTTATGTGCTGCTTGTGTAGCGTGTGTTCGAGGACGGAAAATACTGCATAGACCGAGTGTCGAAGTTCCGCTTGGATTTCTCGAATCGGCGTTGGAGCCCCCTGGCGGTGCCTCCGGCGCCGTCCCCTGGCGCACTCCACGCGCCTTGGAGAGGGTCCAGCGCGGATCCGAGAATCCGGGTGGATCTCCGAGAGTTTCTGTGTAATGAGGTACGAGATACCCTTGGTCTTACAGAGTTGACCGTCGACCGCTAGTAACATGAATTAGCGTTGTGTGTCTGCAGACAGCTGTAGGCGCTGACATTGTGCAAGCAACGCGTCGGTTTTGCATAGGCACAGAGGCATGGAAAATCGGAAAGCAGCACGTAACACGACAGCGGGGCAGGGGTGCGCGGTCACTTGGATGCGGCCGGGAATAGGCCGCCAGGATGTGGGATCCAGACCTCGCCCAATCGCAAAGTGCCGTAATCCTCCCACTCCACTACCAGCCCATTCCCACATTTAAAAGAGGGCGAGTCAGAAGCTCATGCGCACGCGCTGCACGGCGAACGAGGTGTGTCCGAACAGAGTTAATACAGTGCCCCCCTGTGTCAGCAATGCACGCTTGAGCCGTATACTAGCGCTGCGTGCAAACAAAGCAAGCTGGGATTATGAACTACCATGATGCCAGCGCTATATGTGCGTGTGTGTGTGTGTTTGTCTTTGTCCTTGTCCTTGTCTTTGTATGTGTCATTTTATGTGTCTTTTTCGCTGTCTCTGGCTTGGTGTTGGTGTAAAATGTTGGTGTTGGTGTTGGTGTTGGTGTTTGTTGGTGTTTGTGCTTGTGTGCGTGCATGCGTGTGTGTGTTTGTGTGCGTTTGTTTGTGCTTGTGTGTATGCTCGTGTGGTTGCGCATTTGTATGAAGTTGTGTGGCAATGTGTGTGTTTGTGTGTGGTTGTGTGTGTGTTTGCGTGTGTGTGTGTGTGTCTGTGTCTGTGCGTGTTTGTGTTTGTGTGCGCTTGTTTGTGGTTGTGTGTGATTGTATCTGTGCGTTAGTATGTGAATGTGATTGCGCGTGTTTGTGTGTGTGTGTTTGTGTGTTTGCGTGCGTTTGTGTGTGCAGTTGTGCCTGTGGTTGTGTATGGTTGTGCTTGTGTGTGTCTGTGTGTTTGTGTTGTGTGGTTGTGTTTGTGCTTGTTTGTGTTTGTATGTCTTTTGTGTGAGATTGTGTGAATGTGTGTGTGTGTGTTTGTGTGAATGCATGTGTGTGTGATGGTGTGTGGTTGTGGGTATGTGATTGTGATTCTGGGAGCGCGCGTGTGTGTGGGTGTGTGTGTATGTGTGTACGTGTGTGCGTTTGTGTGTGCGTTTGTGTGTGATTGCGTGTGTACGTGTGTGCGTGTGAGTGTGCGTGTGAGTGTGTGTGCGCGTGTGCGAGTGTCAGTGGCAACGTCGGGGGGGGGGGGCTCAGGGGTGGATGCATCGATCCCCAATCGCCCATTCATCGGCAGCCGATAGGGGCCCGATAGGCCAGCTCCGCCCGGGACCGTGCGGTTGTGCTAGCGGGAGCCTATCTTCGATCTTCCGGTGGTTTCTTGATAATTCCAGGTTTATTTTTCCCCCCCCGAGCCGGTCCCCCTATAACGCACCCCCTCCGTGTATGAAAGAGGCGCCCAGAACCCTGGAACAGCACGCGTCGCGCCGTCACAACCCCACCCGCCCGCATGCTGGCCTCCAGGTCGAGAAGGGCGCCAAGGAGCTGACGCTGAGGCCATCGCAAAGGGGGGGGAAATCAAGGCAGGCGTCGACCAAAACGGTGCTTTGGCAATCTCATGAATATGTTCCATGTTCCGTCGGTTCCCAACCCTCTTGTGCGTTGGGTCCTCGTTTTGAGTCCAAAGCGCCGCGCTCCCCCTCCCCTCCTCTTGGCATCGCTCGGACGTGTGCATTTTTCCTTCGGCGAGGGCCATCGAGGAGCATCCTTGATCATTTGGCGAAAAAACCACGCACGAAACCGAAAAACACACAGGGAATGGACGTCCGAGCGATGGCGAGTCCTCGTCTTCATCGCCCACCCTCTTGCCTTCGCATGTCAATTCCGGCGCACCCAGCGCACGTTTCGCGGCCCCATTGGAGGTGTCACCCAAGGTTTTTCAGAGGCACGGTCCGCACGGCACCACCCCGCTCCTTTCGGCACACCACTCACACGTTTCGTGACCCACCATGGGATCGCCACCGACGGCCCCAGTGGCAGGGTCCGCATGGCGCCACCCCGCCCATTCCTGCACACACACACACACACCTCGCACGCTTCGTGGCCGCACAGCGAGCTCCAACAAGGGACACTTCGGGCACACACACACACACACCACACGTCTCCTTGCACGATCGCGATCTCCACCGAAGGCACCAGTGGTTGAGTCCGCATGGCGTCGTGGGTCCGTTTCGGCACACCCCTCATACGTTCCGTGACCACATAGGGATCCCCACCTAAGGGCCCAGTGGCAGAATCTGCGCGGCGCCATCCCGCCCATTCCGGCACGCACCTCACACGTCTCGTGGCCCCACAGGGACCTCCACCGAAGGCACCAGTGGACTCCCGCGCCCTGTGCTGGATTCACCAATCGTTCTCCCAAGGATCCCTCTTCCCGCTCTCCCTGCCCCCGCCCGCATGCTCCGCGGCTTACTCGTCGTCTTCTTGTTCGCGATTTGAGTCATGACACTGCGCGCGGAAGTTTGATATTGCGTTCTCTGGCGAAGCAGGGGCATTGCAGATCCTCTCTTGTATTGAGCGGTCCTGTTGATAGTCGCCACACGTTTAGAAAAGGTTGGGTTTTTCGCGTGGCTATCTTTCAATCAGAAGCCCCACCAATGGCAGATCACGACCTCGGATTTGCGCTCAAGTTCTGTTTTGGGCGGTCGGACCGCTTTCGTTTTAAAAGGCATCTGAACGAAGACGATACGAAAACGCAACACGCTGGTTTGGTCAACCCCTGTCGCAAGTGGACGAGAGGCAATCGTGTATGCGGAGTCCGATCGAAAGCGATGAGGTGTCGCGGGCATGCCGGCGATGCACTTACATATGTTTGCATACGCTTGTCTTCCTTTCTCGCTCTCTCTTTTCTCTCTCTCTCTCTCTCTCTCTCTCTCCTTCTCTCTCTCTCTCTCTGCCGAGACGGTGCGTTTGTTTTCCTTCATTGCTCTCTCTAGTGAAGGCAACCAGAGGCCCTCACCGGGCCCCGGGACCGTCAAAATGTCGAGGACGAACGGTTGGTCCCCGGTGAGAGGTCCAGATTTCTAGGGGGTGGCAGGTTGTGAATTTGTGGCGTCCCAAACCCGGATAGCGCAGCAGTCCAAAGCGCGTGGAAGCCCATGGGGGACGCGTGCACGGACTCTTGAAAGTCTTGTCTGGGAAGTTTGCAAGTTCGAGAAGGGAGCTTCGAAGGAGCTCAGGAAGCTTCGAAGGATCGGGCCGGACGAAAGGGGGGGATAGGGAAAGGGGGGGTTACGAAATTTGCTGCATGTAGCTGGCTTCGGCCCCATCGAGGGGCCCATTCTCGATACGCGGCCGCCTCCGGCGCTGGGAGGCGCCGGGAAAATCAGCTACGTGAGCTGATTCTCAAACCCCCCCTTTTGCTATCCCCCCCTTTCGCCCAGCCCGAGAGGAGCTGCGGAAAGGCTTGCGACAAACGTAATCAGAACGAGTAGAAAAACGCTCTCGGGACACGCTGCTGGTTCCAGAAGGGCGCTGAGGGAAACGGGGATCCTTGCCCAGCGCCAGAAAGAGATCCTGAGCTACCCTGCGCTGCCAGCTTCTAATCCCAAACCCTTAGAGCTATCGGGGAAAAAGTCACGACGTCGGATGTCTGGGAGGGACCCCAGGAGACGGAGGAGACCGGCTCGCGGCCGAGGGGGGTGAACCCCCCAACGCCTCCGTCAGGCTTCCCTGCCCTCCTCCCTCCCGCCCTCCCTGGCGGTGCGGCCCCCGTGCGGGTGCCCTAGCCCGTGTTGGGCTATTTCAAGGACCCCCTAGGGTTCGCAAGGTCGGTGGTGTCGTTATCGAGAGGTGGCAGAGCAGACCAGAACTCCACGGCTGCATCGGTATCGCATCTAGCCCTCACTCCATGCTGCCACCACCCCCTCCTTCCCTCCTCGAGCGCCTCTCCTGCCCCTCATCCCTCCGGCCCTCCTCCTCCTCCTCCTCCTCCTCCTCCTCCTCCTCCTCCTCCTCCTCCTCCTCCTCCTCCTCCTCCCTCTCCCTCTCCCTCTCCCTCTCCCTCTCCCTCTCCCTCTCCCTTCCCTCCTCCTGCCCTCCTCCCTTTCCCCGCGGGAGGATGCAAAATTCTCTCAGTGGCACGCCGCCGGTGGGAGCCCACCACCCTGATATACTCAAAGCGCTTCGGCCATTCCGCCCCGACCCCAGGACGAGAACAGTGTGCGGCTGCCGATGTCGTGCGCGTTGTCTATGGCTTCCCGTCTTGCGGCCTGCGTGCATAGTTTTATGTCGGGCGTGTCCCCCATACAGGGGATTTTCGACGAACAAATAAAAATACCCCAGAAATACTCCAAAAAGGTCAAAACATATTCAAAAAATAGTCCCCAGCCTATTTTTGGAGTATTTGTTGATTATGTTTGGGGCATGTTCCATTTTTCCTCGAAAATCCCCCTGTAGGGGGACAGGCCCGACTTAAGCATACTTGTTGTTGATTATATAGGCTTACGCCACATCCGCCGACCCCTATATAAACTATTGCGCCTCCAGGGCTACATTTCACGATGTTTGTCCGAAACATGACACGGCGCTCGACATCGTTCGTGTTGCTTCGTTGTTTTTTATCGCACATCAGAGTGAGGGGGCCGAACGGTCATTCACTGTCCCTGGGTGCGTGGCTGAAGTGGAATTCCGCGGTGCGGATTCTCGTTGTTGTTGTTGTTGTTGTTGTTGGTGGTGGTGGTGGTGGTGGTGTTGTTGTTGTTGTTGTTGGTGCTGTTGTTGCTGTTGCTGTTGTTGTTGTTGTTGTTGCTGTTGTTGGTGGTGTTGTTGGTGTTGTTGTTATTGTTGTTGGTTTGGTGTTTGGTGGTGGTGGTGGTGGTGTTGTTGTTGTTGCTGCTGTTGTTGTTGGTGTTGGTGTTGGTGTTGTTGTTGTTTGTTGTTGTTGTTGTTGCTGTTATTGTTGTTGTTGGTGTTGTTGTTGGTGTTGTTGTTGTTGGTGGTGTTGTTGTTGGTGTTGTTGTTGTTGTTGGTGCTGTTGTTGTTGGTGTTGGTGTTGGTGTTGGTGTTGGTGTTGTTGTTGTTGTTGGTGTTCGTGTTGTTGTTGTTGTTGTTGCTGTTTGTTGTTTGTTGTTTGTTGTTTGTTGTTTGTTGTTTGTTGTTTGTTGTGTGTTGTGTGTTGTGTGTTGTTTGTTGTTGTTGTTTGTTGTTGTTGTTGTTTGTTGTCGTCGTCCCACCCGCAACCCGCCCCGCGACCCACACGCGACCCAACCCGCGACCCACCCAGCGACCCACCCCGCGACCCACCCCGCGACCCACCCCGCGACCCACCCCGCGACCCACCCGCGACCCACCCGCGACCCACCCGCGACCCACCCGCGACCCACCCGCGACCCACCCCGCGACCCACCCGCGACCCACCTTCGACCCAAACCACGTTGAAGGTACAAACCACCATTTTCGGCGCCTGCGGCGGGCTTTTTTTTTGTTGCATTCCTTCCAGGTGGAGAGCCCGCGACCCACCCCGCCACCAACTCGCGACCAACCCGCGATCCAAACCACGTTCAGGGTACAAACCACATTTTTCGGCGCCTGCGGCGGGCATCTTTTGCATTCGTTTCAGGTGGAGAGCTCGCGGGCCATCCGCGACCACGTTCAGGGTACAAACTATATTTTTCGGCGCCTGCGGCGGGCATCTTTTGCATTCGTTCCCGGTGGAGAACCCGCGGCCCACCCGCGACCCAAACCACGTTCAGTGCACAAACCAATTTTGTTGGCGCCTGCGGCGGGTTGCTTTTGCATTCATTCCAGGTGGAGGTGGAGAGCCCGCGACCCACCCGCGACCTAAACCACGTTCACTGAACAAACCAATGCCGCACAAGCGCGGCGGCGGATTTTCGCATGCCGTCTGAGCCCGCAAGGACCTCTTCAAGCCCCGCGCATCCACACCAGCCCGTCCAGCAACTTTGCCCTGGCGAGTTGCCTTGATCAGAGAAGGCGGGAAGCATAAAGTGGAAAAAGGACTGCGTTGCAGTTATCTTGGGAAAGGAGGGGGAGGCAGGAGGAGTAAACAGGGGACGAGGAGAACGCGGCAGAAGAGAGGATGTAAGGATAATGTGGAGAGAGAAAAGGAGGAGGAGCAGGAGGGCGAGGAGGGGGGGGAGGGAAGGGGGAGGACGAGGAGGGGGAGGAGGGGGAGGATGATGGTGATGGACGACAATGGGAGGGCGATGATGGAGGCCGATGAGGGGGAGGACGACGATGGGAGGACGATGATGAAAGGACGAGGGGGGGAGAGGGAGGACGAGGAAGAACAGGAGGAGGAGGAGGAGGGAGGAGGAGGAGGACGATGACGATGAGGACGAGGACGAGGAAGAGGAGGATGAGGAGGAGGAGGAGGAGAAGATCGCCATCGACAGGGAAGGTGGGGGCCAAGAGGTCCGCCGGCTCGACGACGCCCGCGTCGCCCGCGCCCGCCCCCTCACTCTTATCCGCAATTGCGGGGTGCTACGTATATATTGGTGCTCTCTTTTGTGGCCTCTTGGTGGCATCTTGGCCTGTCTGCAGGCCATATCCAGCCGCCCCGTCCTGCGGCCTGCGTGTGTAGTTGTTGTTGATTCGTCCTCCTCATCCTCCTCCTCTGTGTTTGTTTCGGGGCCTCTCATGAGCTTTTGGGAGGCCGAGGCATCCTGGCGCTTCCGCAAGGCCCCCCGGGGGCTTGCGAGGGCCCCTTGGGAGTTATGTTGGGGGTCTCGGGGCCACTCTTGTGGGGGAGGGCTCCTGGCGTCCCTGCGGGCTCCCCTTCTTGGGCCTCTCTTGGGTCCGTTTTTGGAGCCTCTTGCGGGTGTTGTTTTTTTGTACGGGGTGTTTCTCGGGCCCCGTCTTGACGCTACTTGGCGTGTGCTTGAGACCTCTGAATGGCACGCCTCTGTTGGGAGCCCGTCACCCTGTCGTCCTTCGTCTTTGTCCAAAGACACTGTGTTTTCCATGTCACACCTATGTGTTCCCCAGAGCGGCGTGCCGTTGATACTGATCTTGCTTCCCCACCCCCTACTCATCCCTGTCCGGCGCCCTCCCTCCCGCCCTCCCGCCCTCCTCCTGTCCCCTTCCGAGGAGGAGGAGGAGGAGGAGGAGGAGGAGGAGGAGAAGGAGGAGGCGACGAAAGAGGTGGAGGAGGATGAGGCGGAGGAGGATGAGGTGGAGGTGGAGGAGGAGGAGGAGGAGGAGGGGGAGGAGGAGGAGGAGGAGGAGGAGGAGAGGAGGAGGAGGAGGGGGAGGGAGAGGAGGAGGAGGGGAGGAGGAGGAGGAGGAGGGGAGGAGGAGGAAGAGGAGGAGGAGGAGGAGGAGGGGAGGGGGGAGGGGGAGGGGGGAGGGGGAGGAGAAGGAGGCCCTCCTGCACCTTATCTTCATGCCTAACACCGTTCATCCTCCCTCATGCCCTCCTCCTCCATCCCTCCTGCCCTCCCGCCCTCCCTGGAGCGCTCCCGCTTTGGTCTTCGCCGACCCCCAAACATTCCAATCTGTGTTTTATCCGCGGCCCCAGAGGTTCTGGCCCCTTCGCCAGGGCAAGTCTGTCGCCGCGGGTCCGTTTCCGATGGTCCTGGGTTCCAGGAACGGCCCTTGGAGGCCGAAAACGATGAAAGCACCAAGACCGAACAGACCATATCGACGGAGATATGCCCCCAAAACCCTCGCCCCGGGGAGGAGGAAGAGGAGGCCCTCGGAGCGGGAGAAGGAAGACAGAGGAGGAAAAGGAAGGAGAGGAGGAAGAGGAGGAAAAGGAAGAGGAGGAAGAAGCGGAGGAGGAAGAGGAGGAGGAGGAGGAGGCCCTCCGAGGGGAGGAGGAAGAGGAGGAAGAGGAGGAAGAGGAGGAAGAGGAAAGACCGCCGCGGGCTCCGCCAGGCCGGCGGTCGCGGGCGGCGAGGCGAGGCTCGAGCGCGAGGACGGCCCAGGGCGGGAGGGCATCGAGAGGCACGAGTCATTGATTGCACTCTTTCTGCATTCTTCAGACCCACAGCAATCACCGCCAGCTACCACCATCCAGGCTTCCGCCTCCAGCTTTCGACTTCCGGCCTCAAGGGCATGATCTCCAGCTTCACGGGCAACACCTGATCGGGCCTCGCTTTCGGACGTTCCGGCGCCCCGGCGCCGCACCCGCAGCACCCCAGACGGTGCCCATGTGCGGGCGTGCTTCGTGCCTTTGGATTTCCCAGACGGGACACGAGTCATTGATTGCACTCTTCTCTAGGCCTTCCAGATGTCAAGCAGTGGCGAAGTGTCCTGGCTTTCTTATAGGCCCACCAAAGAATGTTCTAAGAACCTGGTGTCAGGGATCTTTATAGTTGCGGCTTGCGGCAAGCGGTAAGAACAAATAAAACATTCTAGCGGCAAGCGGTAAGTGGTAAGCGTTCAGCCTCCGCCTGCTGCATTTAGGATTACGGCTTACGGTCAGCGGTAAGCGTCGCCCATTTTCCAGGAGCCCGCCAGGCGGCCCCAGGATGGCCCCATGGTTCACGAAGCGTCGCGGGCACCGACAGCCCAAGTGGCGGCATAACACCGTCAGATTTTTGCAAAATCGACGACAATGGCTTCCCAAATCGAGCGGTGTTATGGCGCCGAGCTCCCTTCCCCCGCCCCCGCCCCTCCCCAGGAGGCCCCCAGGAAGCCACGACCCAGAACGCCCCAGGAGGCTCCAGGAGGCCTCCCCAGGAAGCAACCAGGAAACCGCCAGGAGGCCGCAGAACGCCCCAGGAAGCTCCAGGAGGCCCCAGGGGCGCCCCAGGGTCCACAAAGCGTCGCGGACACCGAAAGCCCAAGTGGTGCCATAACACTGGCCGATTTTGGCACAATCGGCGACAAGTTCTTCCGAAATCGAGCTGCGTTATGGCGCCGAGCTCCCTCCCTCCCCAGGAGGCCCCAGCAAGCCTCGGGAGGCCCCCACGAAGCCACCAGGAAGCCCCAAAACGCATCATGAGCCCCAGGAGGCCCCAGGAGGGCCTCAGAATCCACAAAGCGTCGCGGACAATCACCGAGGAACGGGGGTTGCATCAACCTCCGACGGAAGGCCCGCGAGATGGTGCCAAGGTGGCGCCATAACACCGGCCGATGTTGGCAAAATCGGCGACAAGTTCTTCCAAAACCGAGCGATGTTATGGTGCCGAGCACCCCCCCCTTCCCAGTGAGGCCCCAGGAGGTTCCCAAGAAGCCACCAGGAAGCCCCAAAACGCATCATGAGCACCAGGAGGGCCCCAGGAGGGCCCCAGAATCGGCGACCAGCTCTTCCAAAATCGAGCGATGTTATGGCGCCGAGCCCCCCCCCTCCCCAGGAGGCCCCAGCAAGCCTCGGGAAGCCCCCAGGAAGCAACCAGGTGGCCGCAGAACGGGCCCCCAGGAGGCCCCAGGAGCGCCCCAGGGTCCACAAAGTGTCGCGGACAGCCATCGGGGGAGGGGGGGGTGCATCAACCACCGACGGAGGGCCCGCGAGATGGTCCCGCCACGATTGGCCCGCGAGCGGAGGGGGTCCACAAAGGGTCCACAACAGCAGTGTCCACAACAACAGTGTCCACAACAGAAAGGTCCACAACTGCAGGGCCCACAGCGGCAGGGTCCACAACAGCAGGGTTCACGACAACAGGGTCCACGACGAAGTGCCCGCTACTGGCGGGAGCGCGCGTGGACGGCCCCTCTGGGGTCCACAACTGCAGGCCTCCTGGGGTCCACAACTCTGGCCTTCTCAGCGTTGCCGCAGCCCCACTTGTCCCTTTTCCCCCCGTAGCTGCTCAGGAGGGAAAAAACCACACAGACAATGAATCGTCGATCCCCCCGAAAATATTGGAAAATATGGGAAGTGGGGGGGAAGACGAAAACCCCAAAAAAGATGGGAAAAGTTGGGGAATCAGTTTTGTTTATGTGCATACATTTGCGTGTCCTGGGGCCCCTTCCGCTGCATCTGAGTGCGCGGGCTGGCGCTGTGCGCTGATTCTGAAGCAGCGAGCGCCGTGGCCGCGAAGCACCGCGAGTTGAGTCGGTGCTGTGGCTGTGGCCGCGGCGCGCCGGGTTTCCCCGGCTGGCCTGTCGCCGCGAGCGTCGCTGGAAGATGATCGGGGGCGGAAAAGAGGGGGTTGATGACTAGGGGGGGGGAGATCATGGCGGGGGCCATGATATCTCCCCAGATTTCATGGCGCCTCTTCTTATTTCATTACGTCCCTGGCCCCCCCGCTGGGCCGCGCACATGCCGCCGGTCATGATTAACACCCCCCCTCTTGGACACCCCCCTCTTGGCCGCTCCCGAGATGAGAAGGGGACGGTATCCTCTTCTCCTCCTGCTCTTCCTTCTGGCATTTCTCTCCTTCCCCTTCTTCTCCATGTTCTGTTTATCCATATCCTCCTCGTGCTCCTCCTCAGCATGATCATCTGCATCGCCATCACCATCAGCATCATCCTCATCGCCACCACCATCATCATCGGCATCATCACCACCATCCTCATCCTCATCATCCTCGTCGTTCCCTCTCCTCGCTGTGTTGCTTGTGGGCCTTGCTCGCGGCTGAAGGGGCTTCCCCAGTTCGTGGTTCCTGTTGGGGGGCTGGACCTTGTTCGGGGACTTGTGGGCCTTATCTGACGCTTTGTGGGCCCTCCCTGGAGCTGTTCGTGCTCGCCCTGGGCTGTTCGTGTCTGGGGGTTCACGGGGCCTGCCCGTGGTGTTGTGGACCCCCGTCGGGGTTGAGTCGGTTTTCCCGGAAGGTTTTCGGGCGTTCCTCATACATGGGCGTTCTGACGCCCTCCAGGGAGGAGGGAAGCCTGGGATGCACTTCCGCCGATTTGGAAGAATTTGCGCCCGATTTCGCCCGATTTCGCCATAAGAGCGCTCGGCTTTGGAAGACTCTGCGCCCGATTTCGCCGGAACTGGCCGGTGTTGCGGCGCCCCTTGGGACCTTCGTGCGCCCCGCGCGGAGGCCACCGCGAATCATTGTGGACCTTGGGGCGTCCTCGGGCTTCTGGGGGCTTCCTGATCCCTCCTGGGGGCCTCCTGGGGCATCGGGCCTCCTGGGGCAGCTGGGGCCTGAGGCTTTCTCGGGGGTCTCCTGGAGCCTTCTGGGGCGTTCTGGGGCCTCCTGGTGGTTTCCTCGGGGCCTCCCGCGGCTAATTAGCTGGGGCATTGTGGGGAGGGAGTCTGGGCGCCATAACGCCGCTCGATTTTGGAAGCACGGGCCCCCGATTTTGCCCAAAATGGTAGGTGTTATGACGCCACCGCGACACTTTGTGGACCTTGCGGCCCTCCTGGGGCCTCCTGATGGCTTTCAGGAGGCCTCCTGGGGTTGGCTGGGGCCTTTTGGGAGAGTGCTTCGGTGCCACAACACCATTCAGTTTCGAAGAGCGGGCATCCGATTTTGCGAAAGCCGGCCGGTGTTATGGCGCCCCTTGGGCTTTCAGTGTCCGCGACGGGACGCTTTGTGGACCTTCGGTGTTTCTTGGGGGGGCTTCCTGGGGTCTCCTGGGGCGTTCTGGGACCTCCTTGTAACTTCCCGCGAGCCTCCTGGGGCTTGCTGGGCCCCCCTGGGGGGGGGCCGGCGCCATTCCCGATGTTGTCGAAATCGATATTTTTAGCGCCCCGTGGGGCCTTCGGTGCGCGCGACGCTTCGTGGACCCTGCGGCACTCCTGGGGCTTCTAGGGGGGTGCCCAGAGCCTCCTTGGGCGTGTTGGTGCTGCCTGGAAGCTTCTTAGGGGCTTCCTGGAACTTGCTGTGGCCTCCTGAGAATGGGGGGGGTCTCGGCGCCATAACACCGCTCGATGTTGGCAGAACGGGTGCCCGATTTTGCCCAAATCGGTCGGCGTTATGGCGTCCCTTGGGCTTTCGGTGCCCGCGCCTCCTGGAGCGTCCTGGGGCGTTCTGAGGCCTCCTGGTGGTTTCCTGGGGGCCTCCTGGGGCTTGCTTGGGCCTCGTGAGGGGGGGGTCTGGGCGCCATAACACCGCTTGATTTTAGAAGAACTGGTCGCTGATTTTGCCCAATTAGGTGTTATGGCGCTCCTTGAGCTTTCTGTGCGCGCGACGCTTTGTGGACCCTGTGGTCCTCCTGGGGCTTCCTGGCGGGTTCCTGGAGCCTCCTGGAGCGTTCTGGTGCCTCCTGGTGGCTTCCTGGTGGCCTCCTGGGGCTTGCTGGGGCCTCCTGAGGGGGAGTCTCGGCGCCATAACACCGCTCGATTTTGACAGAACGGGTGCCCGATTTTGCCCAAATCGGCCGGTGTGATGGCGTCCCGTTGGCTGTCGGTGCCTGCGACGCTTTGTGGACCCCCGCGAACTTTCTGGGGCTGCCTGGGGGCTTCCTGGAGCGTCCTGGTGCGTTCTGGTGCCTCTTGGTGGCTTCCTGGAAGCCCCGGCACCAGAACACCGCTCGATTTTGGCAGAATTGGTCCCCGCTTTTGCCCGCATCGGCCGGCGTTATGGCGCCCCCTGGGCTTTCGGTGACCGCGACGTTTTGTGGACAGTGCGGCCCTCGTGGAGCTTCCTGGGGCCTCTGGGGGCCTCCCGCGGCTTGCTGGGGTTGTCTGAGGGAGGGTTGGCGCCATGACACCGCTTGATTTCCGGTCCCCGATTTTGCCCACATCGGCCGGTGTTATAGCGCCTCTTGAGCTTTCGGTGCCCGCGACGCTCTGTGGACCCTGAGGCCTTCCCGGTGCTTCCTGGGGGCCTCCTGGATTCTTTGGGGAGTTGTGGTGCCTCCTGGTGGTTTCCTGGTGGCCTCCTGGGGCTTGCCAGGGCCTTCTGAGGGTGAGTCTCGGCGCCATAATACCGTTTGGAAGAACTGGTCCCATATTTTGCCAAAAATGGTCGGTGTTGTGGCGCCTCTTCGGCTTTCGGTGCCCGCGACGCTGTGTGGACCCCGCGGACCTTCTGGGGCTGCCTGGGGGCTTCCTGGAGCGTCCTGGTGCGTTCTGGTGCCTCTTGGTGGCTTCCCGGACCCCAGCGCCATAACACCGCTCGATTTTGGCAGAATTGGTCCCCGCTTTTGCCCGCATCGGCCGGCGTTCTGGCGCCCCCTGGGCTTTCGGTGACCGCGACGTTTTGTGGACGGTGCGGCCCTCCTGGAGCTTCCTGAGGGCCTCCTGGAGCCTGCGTTCTGGTGCCTCCTGGTGGCTTTCTGGGGGCCTCCCGCGGCTTGCTGGGGTTTTCTGGGGGAGGGTTGGCGCCATGACACCGCTCGATTTTGACAGAACGGGTCCCCGATTTTGCCCACATCGGACGGTGCTATAGCGCCCCTTAAGCGTTCGGTGCCCGCGCCGCTGTGTGGACCCTGAGGCCTTCCCGGTGCTTCCTGGGGGCCTCCTGGATTCCTTGGGGAACTCTGGTGCCTCCTGTTGGTTTCCTGGTGGCCTCCTGGGGCTTGCTGGGGCCTCCTGAGAGGGGGAGTCTCGGCGCCATAGCACCGCTCGATCTCGGCAGAACGGGTCCCCGAGTTTGCCCACATCGGTCGGGGTTATGGCGCCCCTTGTATGGGGGGGGTCTGGGCGCCATAACACCATTTGATTTTGGAAGAACCAGGAGGGGAAAAAACACACAGACACAATGAATCTTCGATTCCCCAGAAAATATGGGAAAATATGGGAAGTGGGGGGGGAAGACAGAAACCCAGAAAATATGCGAAAATATGGGGAATATGTTTATTTGTGTGTATTTATTTGTGTGTCCTGGGGCCCCTTCACGATTTTGCCCAAAATGGTCGGTGTTGTGGCGCCCCTTGGGCTTTCGGGGCCCTCGACGCTTCGTGGACCGTTTGCGGCCCTCCCGGGGAGCCTCCTGGGGCGTTCTGGTGCCTCCTGGTGGTCTCTGGGGGCCTCCTGGAGCTTGCTAGAGCCTCATGGGAGGGCGTCTCGGCGTCGCAGCACCGCGTGACTCTGGAACAACGGGCTCTTGATTATGCCCAAAGCGGATGGTGCTATGGCGCCCATTGGGCCGTCGGTGCCCGCGGCGTTTTGTGGACCCTGCGGCCCTCCCTGGATCTTCCTGGAGCCTCCTGGGGGCTTCCGGAGGGGGCGATGCTTGCGGCAAGCTGCGGTAACCAAAGGCTAGCGGCAAGCAGAGGCGGCGCGGTAAGCGGCAAGCAAATTGAGCCTTGTGGCAAGCGGTAGAGGCCCCACCAAAACGGTAATTATAGAGATCCTTGTGTTGTGGTCTGCGCGAAATGTTCTTAGACCACTTCTGGCTGGGACGGTTTGGTTTAGAACATCGGGCTTATGTTCGAAGAAAGCTGGTATTGTGATTAGAGCATGTTTGGGTTCTAAGAACATGTAGTGGTGGCCTATAGGACTGCCGGGACGCTCAGTCCCTGCTCAAAGATGGGGTCCACGGAGATGTGGTCGGAGGTTCGCGCCGCCTCGCCGATACATAGGCGATCCTGCTCAACGTGGAGACCGGACTGATTCTCTCATCGCCGACGCGCGGTTGACGTCGCCGATGCGGCGCGAGCCCCCGACCCCATTTACTCGGACCCAGCTTCGGAGGCCTCCAACTTAACCAGGTCGCCCGCGGCGGGCCGAAGATAAAAAGTGCGGGGGCGTATTACAGGGATGGGGCCCCTTCTTGGAAGGGCCTGGGGCCCTCCAAAAGAGCTTCTCAGAAGTTGGGGGGGGCATCTGAAGTTAAGTCGGGCACGTGCCTCTACAGAGGGAAAGTTCAAAAATTGTAGACAAATAGTCTGGGGACTATCTTGAACTATGTTGGATTATGTTTGGCGTGTTTTTGCCTATGTTTTTATTCCTCGCCCAAAATCCGCCTGTCGCAGGGCATGCCCGACCTGAATCTGCAGGAGTCGCCAGCCTTCCCAAAAAAGCTCCCCTGCCAGGAAGAAGAGGGCGAAGAAAGGGAGGAGGAGGAGGAGGAGAAAAAGGAGGAGGAGAAAATGGAGGAGGAGGAGGAGGGGGAGGAGGGGGAGGAGGGGGAGGAGGGGGAGAGGGAGGAGGGAGGAGGAGGAAGAGAGAGGAAGAGGGCGAGGAGGGGGACGGGAGGGGAGATGAGGACGAAGGGTGCGAGGCGTCCTCTCTCATCTTATTAATTTTCCTCCCTCCACTTATCCTCTCCTCCTCCCTCTCTCTCCTGTATCTCCCCTGCGCCTGCTTCCTCGCCCCTTCCTCGCCCCCGTCATCCGCGTCCTGCACTTCCCCAGCATTTTTTCTCCCCTCCTCGCCTCTTGCACCTCCCCCTGATCCCCTCTTCTACAACCCCCTCCACCTCCCCTCTGTAGGAACAAACACACACTGTGGGAAAACAAAACAAAACACAAACACACACACACACACACACACACACACACACACCGTGGGAAAAAAAAAAAAAACACACACTGTGGGAAAACACACACACACACAAAACACACAGTGGGAAAGCACACACACACACACACAAACACACACACACACAAACACACACACACACACTGTGGGAAGAAAACACACACACAACACACAAACACACACAACACAAACACACACACACACACACACATACACACACACACACACACAAACACGCGCACACACTGTGTTTTTTCCCGCAGGTGTTTCTTCCCCCGCCGTACTTTCCTCATCCCCCCCTCCCGCTCGCCAATCCTTCCTGCCCCCGTCCCTGCCCAGGACGAGCTCGAGATCCAGGAGGGCGCCGCCTGGAGACGGTGGGCGGAGCTCTGGGGAGGGCGCAGGTGATCAGGAGGCGGAGGAGAATCAGACATGGAAATGGAAATGGGCAAGTCGCGAAGCGACGAAATCGAATTATTCATCCAGGCTTCTGGTCGACCTCTCCCTCTTGGAATAAACCTTGGGCCAAATCCCAGAGAACATCCGAATCATGAATATCCACAGGGGAGAGAGCAGAAGAGAACTAGGGAGAGGCATAGAGAGGCGGAGGAGGAGGAGGAGGAGGTTCATGAAGAGGCGGAGGTGGAGGTGGAGGTGTAACGAGGGGGAGAGGAGGGAAGGGATCGACGAGGAAGAGGCTGAGGATGACAGGGGGAGAGGGGAAGAGAGCGCACCGATGTGGGCGGGCCGAAGCCCGTCCACGGGCGCAGGTGACAAGCACCGCCTGCCCGCACCTCCTCTGCCGGGAGGAGGAGGAGGAGGAGGAGGAGGAGGAGGAGGGGCCACAAAAAGATGTCCCCCGCCCTGGCGCAGTCGAGAAGGGACGCGCGCTGTAAAGCAAAAGCGGGACAGAGCGATGAGGCCGAGGCTCGTCCTCTTGCTGCGCCGGTGGAAGAAGAGAGAGGCACCAGCTTCAAAAGCGCGCTCTGGCATGCGCGCTTCGGAGCCCTGAGAAAAAAAGACGCCGCCATGGGGGCCCCCCCCTCGGCGACGTGCACGTTCGCGAGGACGGAAGGCCTTTTCGGCGGCCGACGCACGGGCGGCGCACGGGCAACGAACGCGCGACGCACCCCTTGTCGCGAAGGGGGGGGGTCAGCACGCCGGTCGTGCTACTAGGCCTCAACATTCGGCGACCCAGTGCCAGGTCCACGGAGCATGTTGGTAGGCCTTCTCGCAGGGCACGAAAGTCAGGCGATCGCAAACACGGATTACGGTCCGTATCGTTCAACCGATCCCCAGCCCCATCCCCATCCCTTTCGAGACCCCCACCAAATTACCCCCAGTCGGGGATACACCCGTCGAAACCCGAAGGGAACGGCCTATATCCCCATCTAGGAGGGTCAATCGGCCAGTGGGGCCCAGGCCACGCCGCTGGGGATGGGGACCAGATCAACGAGACTCAAGTCAGGCGATCGCAAACGTGGACCCAGGGGGCGTGTATTAGCGACGGGTCCCGCTTCCACGAGAAACCACGGACCTCCGCCGCCGAGCGAGGCGGCACCGGCCGCACTCTGGGGAATGCACCTCCCCCGATCCATGGATTTGGCGACCGCGCGCCAAATCCATGGATCGCTGATCCATGTTTGCGCGCCCCCGAGAAAGGAGGGTTATCTTTGGTGCGCTACCAGTGAGCAGCAAGTCGCGCCTGGAGGTGGTGCTGGAGAGTGGCCCAGGGAGAGCAGGCGTGCGGAGAGCTTGTCGGAGGTTGTTCCAGGCGGGCTTTGCCGTCTGGAGCCTGTCGGGGGGGTCAGGAATGCAGCCGGATGTTAACGCAGCGTGAGCGCGAGGCCGACGGAACGTTGTTGCACCGCCGTGATACTTGTGGTCAGCGCGGTTTCACACCGAGGCGATGCGTGAGGGCATGCGTGTAGTGGGCATGCTACACAGGAGCCGTTCGGTCGCATACACCCTGGTGGGTGTTAGCCTTGGCCCCCGTTTCCAGGTGGTGCGGGGGACTTGCTTGGTGGCAGGGAGCATTGCGTTGGGGGGCTGGGAGTGCGGCGGCATTGGCCAGCCCAGCGGGGTGGGCCGACGGAGCTGGTTTTCGGGACGCAGTCCGCGACCCTTCGTCGACCATGCGCAGATCGCATCTGGGGCGCATGGCGTTGCTGGCGCGTGTGTGCCCTGGGGTGTGGCTGTTTGTGTCGGGGGAGAAGGTAGGGGCTGTATTGCCGCCCGCGTGGTCCTCCCCTGTGTTGTCCCGCGCGGGTCGCCGTGGAGTGTTTGAGGCGGGGTCCTCTTGAGCCGTTGTTGTCATATGCCTGCTTGGACGTGGAGGTGGACTATCGCCGTCCGCGTCGTGACCGTCGCTGTCGTGACACTCTGGCGGGTAAGGGGTGTCGTTGTCGAGGGCCGCCCTAGGCCAAGTGGGTCCCCCTGGTCACCGTCGAGGTTGTCGGGCGGATGCCCCACGGATCACCGAGTTCGTCATAGTACCCTGGCCCTGGTGGGCAACTGGAGTAGGGTGGATCACGGGGTGGGCTTGGTGGCTTATCCCCGCCGCTACCTGTAGTGAGCGGGTTGGGTTTCCTCCGGCGGAGTTCTGACCTGGAGTATCCACCTCGTCTTGCCGGGCAGCGGAAGTGCGCGGTGACGACTTTTATATATCGCGATTGCGAAAAACGGCCGCGAATGTACGTCGCCTTTTGGCCGCATGTATGATATCATGTTGCATGGGAGTGCATGCGGGTTCCCGTCGTTGCCAGCTCGGCAGCGTGACCGTTACGGCGATGGGTGAGATACGGCGTTCGTTGATCCGATGTGTTTTTCTACGTGTTGGGCCTTGAACATGTCGGGTTTAGCTTGGACCACCCAGCGGATTCGTTGCCAGAGGTCGGCTTGTGAGCCCTTGGTTTGCGAGGGATCGGCTTCGAGGAGAGCTTCTTACCCCGTCGACGACGAAGATCTGGACGGGCCCTCTCCGCCGTGGCGGTGAGATGAAGGAGCGCCAGGGTCCCAACGCGTTGCGCTGACTGCGCCAAGCCGTGTATTCGTCAGGAGGGGAAGAAACACACAGACACAATTAATCCTCGATTCCCCAAAAAATATTGGAAAATATGGGAATTGGGCGGGAAGGCAGAAACCCGGAAAATATAGAAAACGTTTGGGAATCAATTTATTTTTGTGTATTTATTTGTGTGTCCTGGGGCCCCTTGACAGTTGTCCTCTTCATGGCCTTCTGGTTGCAGTCTGGAGGTGGACTGCCCGAATTCGTCTCGGGCGAGGGTGGCCTGCAGGTCAAGGAGTGGAGAATCCCCTTCCAGGAGACAGCAGTGCCGCGTGTGCGGCGGGAGGGCTCGCCACTGTCCCTCAGAGATCATGATCGCCGAGTCCATTCGCTCGTCGGCCAAGCACGGGCATGTCCAGACGGTGCGTTATTGGGTCTCCTGTTCTTGGCTCCTACACCAGGAGAGAAGGGAACACAGGCAGAGGAGGAGCGGAGAGGGGGGGGAGAAGAGAGAGGATGTCCGAAGCCGCAGGCTAGAGCAGGAGAGGGGGAGGAGGCGAAAAATCGGGGGAGGTGATAAAGACGGAGGAGAAGAAGGAGGAATACATTAGCAGGAAAAGGAAGGCGCCGCCTAGAGACAGCGGTTGTGCCACGGCGAGGTCGCAAGTGAGGAGAACGGAAAGGGGCCCGAGGAGGAGAGGAGGGTGGGCCCAAGAGGAGTGAGGAGAGAAGGAAGGAAGAGCCGAGGAGGAGGAGGCAGGAGGGAAAACGAAAAGAGGAAAGGGGGAAGGAGGGAGGAGATGAGGAGAGGAGGAGAGGAGGGAGGAGAAGAGCAAAGAGGATGAGTTGAAGGGGAGGGTCTTGGAAAAGGATGCTGGCCAACACTGTCTTCAGCGCCGTTCTGCTGCCAGAGCGCCCGCAGCCCGCAGCCCGGCCTGCTCGGACCACCTTCACCTTCCTAGTTGATGGTTATGTTGTTTTCTTTCGAATGACCTGTGTCAGGAGGGGAAAAAACACACAGACACAAGTCTTCGTCGATCCCCAAGAAAATATAGGAAAATATTGGAATTGGGCGGGAAGACAAAAACCCATAAAGTATAGGAAAATATTGAGAATAATTTTATGTGTGTGTATTTATTTGTGTGCGTGTGTCCTTGGGCCCCTTGACTGTGCTGCTGTCGGCCGCTCTCGGGCTGGACCAAAACGGGGAAAGGTTGTCACGAACAGTGCTGCACGTGGCTGGTCTCGGCTCCTCCGCAGGGCATGGTTCTCGACACGCTAGCGCCCCGACGCGCCAGGACGCAGGCAGCCGAGTCGCTACCCTCCCCCTTCTGCAACCTTTCCGCGTTCGCCCCCCCAAGGCTCAATGAAATCGGGCGTGTCCCTCTACAGGAGGAGCACTCAGAAATAGTGAAAAATAGTCTGGGGACGATTCTTCTTTCATTTTGAGCATGTTGGAGTACTCTTCATTTTTCGTCCACAATCCGCCTGTACGAGGACGCGCCCGACCTGACCCAAGGCACCGGACTGCGCCCCGGCAGAAGCGCCCTGAAGCGCGTGCCTGGCCTGTGCGTCGCCCGCGGAGGCGCGAGGGCGCCACCGCGCGCTGTGCGCCGCAGCCTGGGCCAAGGCGGCCGATCCTGGCATCGCTCGGACGTGTGCATTTTTCCTTCGGCGAGGACCATCTAGGAGCATCCTTGATCATTTGGCGAAAAAAACACGCACGAAACGGCAAAAAAACACAGGAAATAAACGTCCGAGCGATGACCAGTAATCTTCTGCTGAAGGGGTGCGGCGCGGAAGCGCGAGGGCGTGGAGGCGATTGCGCGGTCGCGCACCGCGGGGCGGAGCGCGCCCGGGGCGGCGCCTGAGGCGCCGCCACGGGGGTCCAGCGCGGATCCGAGAAATCCGCGCGGACCTCCGAGATCTTATGTTCATTGCTTGCTCTTCTACGATGCGAGAGGGCAGGTGAGCAGCCGGTTTCTGTGGGGACTCGGGGGTCTCGGTGGCCTCGTGGGAAGGGAGGCCCTCGAAGGCCACCGCCCGCGCAAGGGTGCCGACCCGCACGTAGTTGCTTCCTCCTCGGCCTGCCCCTCCCGCGAGGCCCGCCGCCCGCGGATCGCCTTCCCACGTGATGCCCTGGCTTAAGTCGGGCCTGTCCCTCTAGAGGAGGAATATTCAGAAATAGAGAGAGAGAGAGAGTAAAAGAAAAACAAAAAAAAAAAAACGGGGGACGATCTTTCAATTATTGTTGCGCATTCGGGTGTATTGCTAGGGTATTGAATTTTTCATAGCCCGCAAACCTCATAGCGGTCTGCGGGGCAGGAACATCTCAGGCAGGCCCTTGTGGGCCTCTTGGCTTTCGCCCCT